AGATGCTATACATGCCTGACAATATGTGAGCATGGAGCCACCCGCAGCATTCCAGCACGTCAACACAATGTCACAATATCATTATACAACTGAGCCGGGAGGGCACTGGTTGAATGATAGCTGGACAGCGACGTGGTTTCGGATGTTATGGTGAACAGTAGCATCAGAATAAAACTGACACGGCAGTGTGATCGGGAGGCAATCATTTTCATTAATTTGGTGCGTTGACTTCATATGGGGAATGTTTTGTGTCAGAGGTAAGTTTGTTAAAAGTAAGACCCATTATATAACTTGGTATTTATGTATTTATCAGCACATGGCACATACGTTTGTTATAACCCCATTTAGTGTGGTCAGATTTTCAATAGCTGGTGCAGTATTACTGGAGTATTCAAAGACCACTGTTGGCTAGCTATCAGCACGCAGTTGCAGCTTTTGATATGCATTCTTGAGAAGCACTACATAATCCCGGCTGCAGAAATCCAATTACAGCCTTCTCTACAGAGGTTGGTTACGTTCTCTGCTGAAATCGCTCAAATTAATCAATATGCGGGTTTACTGCCGAGCCAATGAGGGACCGAGTGCTGCTAATCCTGGCAGTAACAAGGGACTCTAACCAATGAGTCAATAATTCCCTGTAAAGTACAGCCACAATTTTTTAGCATGTGACTTTTTTCCACTGTTTGTGAAGTGAGCAACAATTTCCCCAATTTTACCTGCAGGCGATTAGCTTATGTCAATACTTCTTTTGTAGGTACTGATGAATAGCAGATGATTAATGGACTTACCAATGCTGACAACACTACTGACGCACCAGTCTCTTCCTAACTAGCCAAACAGAACCAGAGGACTTCGAAGTTAAAATAGAATGCTGTGGAAATTGATAACCTATCAAGGTTTCATAAGTTTGAATAATTATCTGCACTGCACTATAGCTAAAGAAAACTCTGTAACGAACATATTCAAATCCAGATGTCTGAGTCATTCATGGGGAATCAGTAAAGCGATAAGAAGGGAAAGACACAAAACCATTAATTCCAGAAAAACTACTCTAGAAGATTGTGAGACTAAATGGTAACTGGACTCTTATTTCAGTCTTATACACACGCTGTTTCTTTTTATAGCTGCCATGTCAACAGATACCCAAGCAGGAGCATCTCACTAATTATGCTTATCGAGGAAAACGGAGGGGAAGGTCATCCTCAACATTCTGTCAGCCAGCTCTCATTCAGTCAGACTGCACGTGCTGATTCACTTCAATTTATCACCCAAACCACCATCAGAATTCTGAACACATTTGGTGCAGGTTAATGCGATATAAAAGAGAATCTCTATTACAATCGGACCTTAATTATTTAGTGAAATAACTTATTTTTCTTGTCATATTGTTAGAAAGGTTATGGCTGTGATTCTGCCTCGTCTGTGGGATGTTTTGTACTTTAAACAAAGCTACTGTCTGGCTCCTCAATAATGAATCTTTGGCTATGACTGATTATCAGTTGTTAGAGTAATGGAATTTTTAATTAATATCAACTCAACTTTCACTTATAATTATAAGGCACTGTGCCCGTTCATTTCACATCGAATTTACATTCATTTCCCTTTTCAAACTGTGCACTTTCTTAATCAAACCACTCGAGAAAATTACCTGTTTCAAAGTTTTTCTTCTTTTAATGCAAAAATGTAAAATAAATAAATAAATAAAATGCTGCTGGTCTCTACTTTCAAATCAAAGGGTGATCTATTGTGAACTCTCTACTAATTAGCAGTTAAATAATGGTAACCATTTTAACAATACCCATGTTCCTAATGACTCCGTTTTATTCCCAGACCCATTGGGATTTGCTACACTTAGATAATCTTGACAGAATTCTCTTGCTTTATATTCAATCCAGCTTTTTTCAGGAACTAAACAAACAATTGGGGTAGATCTGAAACTAAGCTGAGTTTATGCCAAACAAGCAGTTGCATTAATGAAATGGCTGATATGTATTTGCATATACAAAGAAAACTGTCCTTTTTACCACAGAAAACTGCTTTAATTTGATCTAGTTCACATAATGGAAGCCATCACTAACAACCAGACAGTCTTATGCAATCCAAAACAACTGCACTGCAACAAATATTACTGTTGCTTACACTACTTGTTTTTGGAGTGTCTGTCAAAAAGAAGTTGATTCAGCTCCACAAAGCACATACAGTATAGACGCTGTTGCAAAGTTTCACCTTGCAAATCCACCAGGGATGTATTGCTCAGTGAGGTGATCTTCTTCTAATATAGTGGAATCAAAATTTCGAGCAAGGCACAACAAAAGAACCACAGGTTTTGCTGAGGTGTATGTGGCAGCCCATTTAATTTGGAGTGCGTAAGAGTGGACAGAAAAATGTATGAGCATGTTGATTTTTATTGTCTGTGCACTGTAATGTTTTAAAAATGGTGTCTCTTTCGATAAGACATTGAAAGCAAAGTTGCTGGAATGCAACTTAAAATGGTATGCTGTGTTCAGGGTTCTATTTGTGGATAAATGTGAGGGTGGCGTCAGAAAGGACGTACAATATCCTGTGAGTCAAGTGAGTCAAGGATGATGGGAAAAGCCAAAAGACAAACAAAAACACTGGTAATTATTTAAACAAATGTGGTTATTAAATGTAGGTGAGGTATCTGCAAGGTCACAACCAAAAGGACCGAAAATATCTGCCAAGAAAAGTTGTTTTCTCTTCTCTTTTTTGGACCATTAATTAATAAGACCATCCAAGGTGGTCCAAACTGATTTAGCAAAAGTTCTCTATTCCAAAAAAAATGCACAAACCAATCTTATAGTTTGTTACTGAACTACGCCGTTGTTCCTGGACCAACACATTATAGATGTCCTAATACGTCTGAACGTGACTCTCAGGTTCCTGCTGACAATGTGTGGAATTGCTTATTTCTGTCGCTTGAGTCTTTGAAATGTTCTGCTGCAAAACAATCTCGGTGGACCTTATGACTTCACTTATGACTTACGAAAGTAACTTTTGCAAATGACCAATGAATACAGGTCATTATATGATTCAAAAGTATTTTGCGCTTATGTGTAAACTCAGGAAGTCTCAAATAAAAAGTGTGTAAACTTCGTAAATATTTTGATTTTTTTTAGGGTAACTGTCCACTCGTTTCGTTGTGGCACCAATTGAGCATGCTGTACTTCCCCATATGAGCCAGAATTTTTCACTTGCCACTCTCATAACTGTGCAAGTGTGCGATTCTTTGTTTTCTGCGTCCTAGCAACATTTATCTTATGCTTTAACACTAAGTGGAAAGCTTAACTTTTTAAATGACATCTTCAGTTTAACTGCTGCTATGTAGACATGTTATAATAAAATAAAGTAATACATTGGCCCAAGGCGTTTTTATTATTTCAATTTAGGACACATGAAAAAAACATGAGCCCTAATTAATTATCATGAAAATTAAGAGACCTTCTAGACTCAAAGGGTGTTCTTTTGCCTATGGGTATCGGTGATTCACAGCTTTTATGATGCATTTGCGTCATGTTTAACTGTTAGATTTTCTTGCCCTCAGAGTTATGGCAACATAAATGTATATTTTTGACAAATCATAGGCCAGAAAATATGTAGTATGGGATAAAATAGACTGTTTTAGAGGATTCTTAAATTTGTTCAAGGGCTTTCCTGGAAATAAGCTGGTTTTCCTATTTTCCCTGACAGAAATATGTAGAAGTAACATATATCATAAAACATTGTTTTTTTTGTTTTGTTTTTCTCAGTAAAAGTTACACAAATATATACATATGTATATAACATACATTTGCAATTTTGTTATGCAAGATGAGTTGAAAATAATCATAAAACTAAAATCATGACATAGTCTTGGTTATTATGTGCTGAGGCAACATAATTCATTTGTTTCTGAGTAACTATAAATTTAAAGATATATTTGCAATTTTTCTATGTTGTCAAATGAGCTTGTTTGTGCAGGATGAATATGTCATTTTATTCTCATTACTTGAGATATTATTTGGTGTAGTTACAATCCAATATTGTTCATTTTACTGAAAATAATTCTAATTTATTTAAATAGCAATGTGCAGTACACTAAGGGATACTGCATTATACCGCCATGCTGTGTGTGATATGAACTTGACAATTTGCTGTGAATCACCAATTTCTACAAAATGTGTTTTGGCATGGACCTGTGTGTGTACAGCCTTAAACAGAACCTACACAGCCTCATTTATTTTTCTTTTCATCTCCATGGCAGCCATCACTGGCATAATATGAATCCATTCTCTCATTAGGTGCACACAAATCAAAACGCTCATTTAAGGACATTGCTCAAGTCAAGGTCACATCAGAAGAACAATTAAAGGAAAAGGTCAATATTTTGAGCTTTTTAAATACTTGTCAACGAGAAGTAAACTTTCTTACAAACACTAATTAGCCTATGACTTCAAGCCTAAAACTGTGTCCACGAAGTGTGAACAATTTACTCAAATAACAAAGCAGGCTTCAGTGTATCGTAATCATTTTAACAGAAAATGGGAAAACTAGGTAGAAATCAGTTTAAGAAAGTGAGATATGTTTTACCTTCTGCCCAGTGAAATTCAAGATTCAATTCAATTCAAGATGTTCTTTGTAAGGGCTGTTCAAAGTTAGCAAAAGTCCTCTGGTCACAAGCTTTTACTCACAGGAAATAGAATTACAAAATATTCTTGTGATTAAACTCATGTTTTTAAAGTCTGATCTCAGCCTCCCTGATTTAAATTCTCACCTTTTTTACACAGGAGACATTTTCTGAGTAATGCTTGAATGACGATGGCTCCACAGTGTTGAGGAATTGTCACTTCAACATAATTGCACTGAGAGGATACATTATTTATGAAAGATTTAGCCTCATTAATCTGTAAAACATTCTGAAAGCATGATCATTTTATTTTTTCCCTGACTTAGTGTTTTGCAGATTTTTGCAGATAAATGATTTTGCTCTTTAATGTGCAGTCGCTTTCTTTGACTGTCTTCTTGTAACATTCTGCCATGACAGCTCTCCCCCAGTGTTTTCAGTGAATCATTATCTGTGCCAATGTTTGCACTCAACCTGTCTCTTATTTGCCTTTTTTTTTTTCTTGCAGCTCCACACTGACCTCGATAAGGGGGAGAGTTCGGTGAAGTACACCCTGTCGGGGGACGGTGCAGGCTCCATTTTCACAATTGACCAAACGACAGGGGACATCCATGCCTTAAGGAGTCTTGACAGGGAGGAGAAGCCTTACTACACCCTGCGTGCCCAGGCTGTGGACATCAACACCAACATCCCCCTGGAGCCCGAATCAGAATTTGTCATCAAAGTCCAAGATATCAATGACAATGAGCCAAAGTTCCTGGAAGGACCATACACAGCCAGTGTTCCTGAGATGTCACCAGTTGGTAAGTGACCAGCTAGAGTTCTGAGATACTGTTTTTTTTCAGGTGAAAACTTTCTTGTCTTACCTTGAACTGGGGAGCACAAGAAAGTCTGTTTCAGGAGCAGTGTAGGTGCAACCAGAGGGAAATAACACCCCTCATCCTAACAGGTTTTGACATTTCAGAGTTCCATTTTATTCTTGGTGTGCCCTGAGAATATTTCACAGCTTTGTCTTTACACGTTCCCCCCGGGGAGCACAGATCAAGGTAATTCACTGGGAGAATGGTTTCTCTTGATGTGAATCGCAACGAACCCCTCAAAACTTCAAATTCAGCAGTCTCAAGAGGATTGGTGGAGAGCTAGGAAAACACAGCGTAGCCTCAGTTGGCAACTGAAATCAAAAGCTGCACTGTACTGTTTACTGTAATAGACTAGCTTTTAAGTTCATCACAAAACATCTGCCCTGTCCGTGAAATCAAAATGTAGAGATTACCTTTCAACACCAAACAAAAGTTTTAGTTCCAGGACTGACAGGTTTCAGTTGGATTAACCTTATATTAGCCTTTTTTCCAAACTGTTTAATAAACTAATATTAAAAAGTTTTCTTTTCTTTGATTTGATATACAAACATTATTTCAGTATGACATTTCAGTTGGACATTTTTTAAATATCATCCACCTACAATGTCCTGATAGCTGCCCAACCTTTTCTCATTCCACTAGCATCAAGTATAACCTTTTTATCAAAGTGAGTTGTATCTCTCAGCAATGAAAAGCTGTGAGATTTGACAATGAGAATAGATAAGAGCAGGAGTGCTCTTTTGGGCAGGGCACATTTTTCCAGCCATTTTAGCCTTGTTGTTCAGTTTATAATTAATCTGTTTTTAAGTGCTAAAGGAACTGATGCCAAATGCAATCGAAGATAAAACAAGTGTCAGCATGAGACAAACCTGTCTGCAGCGCTTCATCTTTTCACATTTCTAATGTATACAAAGATTTGTCTTATTGCCTGTTATTTAGGGGGCTCTTATAGAAAAAAGAAATAAAAATGGTGCAGTTGGAGTAATGCGGCTGAAACAGGTCCTTTATGCTCCCAATAAATGAGCTGGACTTCACATTTAAGTGGCAAATGAGGCTAATTGCACCATCAACAACTACACCTGCGGTCTATAAAACTATCTTTCTAAACGAAGCCAGACACTAGATCTTAGTGATCATTATGCTTTTTTGAGTTGCATTTTATAGAATGTTAATTAAACAAAAGGTGGTGCAAACTTTGTAAATCAGGGGGCAGAAATAATTTTCATGAATTGCTTCTGAGCTGACAAAGACTAGTTTGATGTGTTTCACCAGATGTTTTTTCATTCTGACCTAGATTTTGTCATTATAGATAATAGATCATATGTATATGATATAATATTCCCTACAAAAAAAAAAAACAGTCCCTCTTACCTATGTCCGGAAAATAGTTTGTCTCATCCTCAAAAGAGTTTTCTTTGAGTGTGAATGCGAAAAGCCAAGCAGCACAGATAGAGTTCATGTTGCTCAATTAATGTAGTTTTCAATGCTTTTTTCCTTATCTGAAGTGCCTTTTTTAAGTATCTTATTTTGAGTGTTTGCAATTTTCTGTGCATCTCTAGTAATATAAATATGTATTGCTTTGGTTTCTCTATACAGTTAAGAAAATGTTATCTATTTTGGCAGTCCAAAAATATTGTCTGCCAGTCCCAGTGTACTATAGGGCATGAAGGATGGAGAGAAATCTGGTTAATAATTAAAGAGGGTGAAGACTTGAAACAGGAACCCGAAGGACATCCATACCGAGAAGAAACCGTTGTAGTTAAATCACAGCAAGCTGGAGCTCTGTTGATGTGTGGCCAGTGGGTTCATTGACTGATGCATCCCTATTGTTGTCTTTGTTCGCGGGGCAAGATAAACAAATATAAGAAAATAAAAAGTTACAGAACATAAATGGGAAGCAGTTGTTGGGAAATGCAAAAACCATGTGGACATAAGGAAAAAAAATAAGCATCTCGTAATCCCTCGTTTTCAGCAAAACGCTTATCCCTGATTGTTTCAGATTCCAAACACTGTTTCAGAGCATTTTAATTACCACCACATGAGATGTCGTTTGCTTCGGTAATGTGTTGATTTCTCTGCATGTCTGCAAATTTACATTTAAAGTTGTTGACATCAGATGCTTATATTCATCTGCAAATAAGTCCTCTTAATCGGATCAGTCTTAAGACTCCCCTAATTCTTATCACCGTTGTCTCATGCTTAAATATGAAATTGTGTAAGTTTAACGTTGTATGCTCTTAATTGGTTTCCACCATATTTCTGTCATTATTATGTAGAGTAGTTCAATTTTTGGTGAAGTTATAGAGCTACATAGTTTCTAACCTGCAAAAAACTTTTAAGCTATTTATCTAATCACACTCTCATTCAAGCATTTCAATTTCCATTATCATCCAAATAGAATTTACTTGACTTGTTTTTAGCCTCAATCTTATGTAAAGGCTGTTATCTTTGTTTCCTGGGAATGTGTAGGAGTCAGCTCGAAGGCTTTCAAACTTTCGATATCTAAGCTCTTGGTGTGGAGCTTCTGTCTGTGCATGAACAGAAAAAAACGTATTTATGCGTTATCTCATCACTTGCATACACATGTTCAACACGATGGAATCCTCTTCATGTATGTCTAATCAGGCATGAGTGAGAGAGGATTGAGACACTAATCTCTCTCGTCCTAATTTTTTAATTCCATTGTTGACACCCGCTCAGACTGAAAAGCCTATTTAATTTACAGCAAGTTCTTTGCAGGCAACCAGGAGCTTACCCAAATGTAAAATGACCATGTAAATACCATCCCTCTGGTCAGTGTCTCATGATCACGCTAAGCTTCCCACACAAGCAGCCGTTTCACCTTTTTCATTCATGTTTCCTCCCTGTGAAATATCTGGCCTGTGTTGTAGAGTAATAAACCGGGGAACCTTTAATATGAAAACTTAAAAAGAGGAATACTTTAGCAAAAGGAGTGTTTTCACTGCTGTATAGTCAAGGATGATGAGCCAAACTCCCCACAAGTAATTATTCTGTCCTTGTTATAGCAGAGGTTTGGAAGACTGCCATCTTAATTCTATTCCTGCCAGCTATTTGTTTTCTTAATAGTAGACTTGTTTAATGAATGGTTGCACAAGAGCCTTATTACGATTTATTTTATTTTTCAAATAATAGCTGCTTTGTTATTGTGCAAATGTGCAAATCTGAGTACACAACAGGAAAATCGAGCAGCTCCTCAGCCCATTATCTCTCCTTACTCCCCCACGTTGCACTCTATCAGCTTCTTTGACTTTTCAGCATTAGATGCCGCTATCTCGCCGGTGATTCACGATTCATTAGTGTCAGGTGAGATCGTTTGGTAAGCTGATGAACTTCAAAGGGTCTGGATTTCAGTCTCTTGAGGACACCGATTAACTCCGAGTCAATATGTCTTCCCACTGTTTTCCACAGGGACCTACGTGACGCAAGTAACAGCCACAGACGCAGATGACCCTACCTATGGAAACAGTGCTCGGGTGGTGTACAGCATCCTCCACGGCCAACCGTACTTCTCTGTTGACCCCAAGACGGGTAAATGGCACATCCCTCTCGTATTTGTGTGTGTTTGGCAAAAGGAAGGAGTTGACTAAGTTCTGGGTAAAGTTATTTTAATTAGATGAACTGATCTAATACCTGACATTCAGGTCTGGGCACTTTACAGTGCTGCCCTTTTACGCATATAGAGCGCATTAAACAAACATGTTCTCTGATTATCTAGGAGTAGCATTATTTAATCAGTACTTGGCAAATGTAAAACAAGGGTGACCTTAAAACTTGAACAGGTTCCTTTCCATACTTCTCTGCTTAAGCTCAGTAACTCCTTCCATCTCCCACCAAATAAGGATCACTTTCTTTGATAATTTGTCTCAGTTTCCATATGGTATTATAGCATTTCCAACAAACATATTAATTAAACCTTTTTATCTATTATGTGTTTCTGGATGGTGGGAGTAAGTCAGAGTCCCCAGAAACAACCCAGAAATGCTCTGTGAACTCCACACAGAAATATGGTGCTCGTATACATCATCCCATTGGAAAGGCAGTTCCAATTCTCTTGAACTTTGGAAATAGAAATCTGACACTACAAGGTCTGATACTACCAATTCAGACTTTCTGCTCACAAACTTGTCCTTCCATTGTAAGGCTACAACTTTGTTGATCGCATTGTCCTCTTATCTTGTAGCACAATGGCTTTATGTCAAAGCAAACGGATCAAGTCTAAACTCAGATCTCAGATCTAATCCCTGTGGCACGGAACAAATCAGTGCCAAGATAAAAGTCTGCATTATTCATTTGTAACATAGTACTCAATAAAGGTACGATCTTGGAAAACATTCAGAAAACAAAGCAAAAACAAAAATTGAAGAAGTGCGGTTGTTGTAAATGCCTTGGTTATGTTTACACACAAACACATGGATACTTACCAGCCAGTGCTGCATCGCTGATGACTGTAAATCGGATCCATAAAAGACAAATCAAACAATAATCTATTATCCTTTATTGTTGACAGTGTTAATTATTTCCGCCTCATTGACTACAGCGCTACACTACACAGGGTGCAGGAGGTGATTGCTCTAAATCTGAAATAACGTCACACCAGCAGTGTTTGCTGCTACACTGTGGTTGCAGTGTTGTTGGCTCACTACCTGGAACGTTTCAAAGCATATGAAAATAAGCTCATGCATATCACACAGCCGTATAGGTTGGTATCTGTGGCTCGGCGGGCTGCTTGCTGCAGACCTTTACAGAGCACCCACTGCGACTGTATTTCAAACAAAAAAAGAAAGCCTCACTATAAAAGCAAATGTTTGCCCTGCTGGGTCTGCCGTTATCTCCTAACGCCTACAAAAAAAACGCTGGGAGGTAAAAGGTGTACAAGAAGAGGGCAACAACAGCAGCATGCACGGCATTCAGCGTGAACGTCAGCAGTGACACTCTCCTCTCTCTGAGAAACATAACAGAGATTTCCAAAGCGATCTGTCCTATTTCGCTTTTACACAGCGGCTTACGGGACACATTCATTGTATAAAATGTAATGATACGAGGGAAAAGCATAGAGTAACCTGTGCTGGATGCTCCTTTTTTTTGCCTGCCAACCTCCCACTGACCTAGCTATTAATCTGCAGTACAAACGCTCTCTGATCTCAGGGTCTCTGATCCTCAAGTGAATCATTATATGGCTTCACCAGTGCTCCCTATTGAATGTCAAGTGCTTCCAGTTGGTGAGATGACCTCTATTTCAGCTTTGGTCAGAGGCATTTCAGCAGCTTCATACAGTACCGGAGAGTGATCTGCTTGGGAGGAAATATGTTGTGCATGTTAAGTCAACTGTGCACTCGGCATCCAATCTATTTACGGGAACCTCCTATTCACTGCCTCCTTCCCTTTGTCTTTTTATCTAATTATGTCTGACTTCCCCTAACTACTTCTCTCTCTATCTCTCTCTCTCTCTGTTTCTCTTCTTTCTATCGTATCTATAACTCTCATCAATCTTGCTGCCCTCTAGGGGTTATAAAGACAGCCTTGCCCAATATGGACAGAGAGGTGAAGGAAGAGTACCAGGTATTAATCCAGGCCAAGGACATGGGAGGCCAGTTAGGAGGACTGGCCGGGACGACTATTGTCAACATCACCCTCAGCGATGTCAACGATAATCCACCTAGATTCTCTAAAAGTGAGTAAGCCTGATTGTAATGCGTGTTTAACCACACAAACTTTCATTTACTGTAGAAAATAAAGACACATTTCCCCACATACTTCCATAATGCATCAACTATTGTGCTATTAAAACAAGACAGGGATGTTCGTCATGACCACTCTTTGTAATTGCTTTTCATTATTTGTCATTATGCGCTGTCATAAGCAATGGCCTGTTTATTTAGTGTGATTGCATCTACAGCTACAACTCCTGGCAAATAAACAAGAGTTGATGTTATTTTGCTCATGGGCATCCTTCTATATTTAGAACAGATTTGAGCGTGTTGGTGGAGCATCAGGGATTCAGTGTATTTAAACTCAGTATTTTGTTCAGTATGTCACATAAGCAGCTAAACCAGATTAATTTGATTGTGCTGTATACCAGGTCATGTATGAAGCCAAAAAACGCATAATGCCTAAAAGTCATTGATATGTGAGAGCGCCTCGACATATTCTGAGCATACTTACTAGACTATGAGCAAAACATTTTTCTCTCCAAGGTACCAAGCGTATAACAGAGAATCAAAAACACTCCTCTGCACTGATCCTGCTTCTTTGTGTATTTTGAGGTGACACCCTCTTTGAGTGGTCTCCTTTGAATGTAAATGACGGCAGTCAGACGGTCAAGCTCCTCTGGCACGGAGGAAAAGATGATATTTCCATAATGCTGTCACAGCACAGAGGTTTGGCCAACTATGGCGGCTCTGCCTTGTCCCATCCTCTTTTTGTCTTCCTCGCCTTTCCTTCAACAGACAGCTTTTAGCTTTGGAAAATGCATGCCTGTCATGTGTAGATAAATTGCCTGAGAAAATTCAGTTTGCTCTATTGCTGCCCCGATTCTTGTCTTGTTATTAGTTTATTTATTCACAAACTGCCAGCCCTCTGACCCTAAGATTGAAAGCCTATTGTCACCAATACCTGTCCATAGTAGTTTGGAATATTCTAAACCTAAAACACTGCTAAAATAATGATAATCTTCTCAACTATGGGTTAAAAGAAAGTTTTGAACCTGTCCTTAAAATAACCTGAAGCCCAAAATGCTTTTAAAATATGACAGTCCTCCTTATTATATTTATTGTATTCAGAATATTTTATAAAGAAAACTTTTATATGCGTCCTCCACTGACTAAGAGACAAAACCTGCAATTAGCAGTGAAATAGAGGAATAACAACTGAATGATGGCAATGAAAAGTACATTTATCCCCACTGAGATTTAACCTCTTTCTACATCAACATCTTTAATGTATGGTTTCACCGGCATTTTTTCTGCTTCTTGCATTCATAATCCACCATAAATTTAGATTATGTTTACCAATAAGTCAAAATCTAAAGACAACATTTCTCTTGACGTTCTGGTCATTCATTTATTTTTCTTTGGCAAATTACTCAAGGTATGGTAAAGGGTGAAAATATGATCAATTCATGAGCAGAAACCAAACTCTTCTTCATCCTTTGAATAAAATGATGTAATTTATTTGACTATTCTTTTCCTAGATTATTTGGCCTTGTTGGCTTTGTTGACTTTATTGAGCAGAGGCTTTTAACAAGCGCTGAGGTTGTTTGCAGTTAAGTATCGAGCATTGGAAAGGAGAAATAACACCCCTAGCCTGAGGTCCTTTTTTACTTTACCTCAAGGATGATTGGGTTCACCAACTGAATTTCATTCATTCACTCATGAGTAAAAAAGAAGAAAAACAGAGTAGCCCTTTAGCGTCACTCTGATATATGCAGCTGACAGATAAAGAGGTTGAAATCAGACATGAAATAGAATTTTTTACGCCATTTCGAGGTTAGTGAAATGCACACACTTCTTGCACAATGTCACCTGAGGAAGGCACCTGATCTGCAATGTAACCATGAACTTGAAACTTCAAGAATTAATGTTTAAACCAATCTCAGGGAATGAAGTGAGGCATAGAGTAGATTAATTCCCTTCCACTCCAGGTAAAAGTGATAATCAGTCAGCCTTCAATTTGCTTGTTTGCTGATTTTTTTTCCCAAAACCTCAGCCATGATTTGTGCTCCAGAGCCCCTGGATTTATGTGTGTTTGGTCTTACGGGTTGAGTCAGCCAATTACAAAGAGCTGAGCATCCTTGATGTCCAACCACTTCAACACTGAACGTTATCATGCTTATAGCCATAGCCCTGACATCAGACACAGGGATTGTCAACCTCTTTGCCTATGCGTGACATCCTTTGGTTGGTGAGGCGATACATAAAGGGCAGCAGATCTAAGGAGCGCAGTGTTTCCCTTTTGATGTCAAGAGGTGATAACAGATGAGCCTGACTCCACTCTCGTGTTCTTTGACAGGTTTTTTTCACCTGAGAGTTCCTGAATCATCTACAGTGGGGTCTGCTGTCGGCAGAATCAAAGCCCATGACTTGGACATTGGGAGGAATGCTGAAGTGGAGTACACCATTGTGCCTGGCGACGGAGGTGTCATGTTCGATATCACCACTAATGAACACAACCAGGAAGGGATCATCATCTTGAAAAGGGTATGCAGCCTCAAAAAAAGAAAAAAACACTAAAATCAAGGTGTTACTACCTGAATAGTCATGGCAAAAAGCCTTTATTCTACAGTTCCAGAATGAAAAACTTTAATTTTATCAGTCATGCAATATAGTCATGTAATTAGTGTCTTAATGAATACGTGAAAATCAGATTATATAAAAAATGCTTTAACAGAGCTTGGATTGAACAAAACAGACTGTAGCCCGGGAGCAGATGTGGACTTTCAAGCCCTTGTTGAACTAGCTGTAGTTTCAAAGGTAGACTCCGCTCCATTATTGCATGAATCAATGCCATCAAAGATGAGTAGTTGCACTGTGTGTATTAATCGGTTTCTAAAAATGAAGGGCATGATTTTTATGTGGCCATTAACACCACCTCCCCACAGTGATGACGTTATTGGGTTAAGTCTTTGCTGGGTTGTTTTCCTTCCCTGTGCAGTCACAAAGTTCTCCCATTGCATGACATTCTGGGTATTCTGGCCTTCAGTCCAAAAAAAGAAAAAAATGGAAAGATATCAGGTTAATTAGCAGTTATGTAGTGACCCAAGGGCTGAAGGTGGGTGTGCACGGTTGTTTGTCTTGTTAGCCCTGCAATGGAATGGCAACCTGCCAAGTTTTCTTTCTCCCCTGACCTTTCCACTCCCTCAACAGCAATTGGGGTAGGCTTCTGCTTCCCTTGTGACCCCAATTAAGATGAAAATGGTTTCGAAAATAAAAGTCGGAGGTGTTTCCAGAAACTGGTTGTAGGCCTGTTGTATATGTTTTTAGCACTTTTGGTGAGTTGTGGCAAAGAGTTGTCTTCTAAGGTGCTGCAGTTGGTATAATACTGCATTTGAACCCCAGCGCTTCTTTGATGTTCAAGAGGCTGTCTAAATCCTGTCCAAAACTTTATGCTTCATCACATCAGCAAAGAGACAGAGGCATGCCACAGGAAGCTTGCACTTGCTCTGCTCACAAGACTTTAAAAATAGAAAAGCTATCACACCTGACGCAGAACGAAAGACGTGGGATGTGACAACAGATTTAATACATCTCACTGATATGCATATGAATGCGAAACCAGCCCCAACCACAAGGGAGGCCAAAGAATTTTATCAGGAGGTGGAGTGTTACACTTCCTCAACACCATAATTTCGATAATTTCTTTCATTTGATTTTATATTTTACGCCCGTTGTCTTCCAGCAGGACTATTTCAGCTGTGTGTTCAGCAATCAGAAGTGCAAGAAAAACTGCATACCAAAATGGGATTACTTTTAGATCTAACCATTCAACCAGCGTGCTGATATTTTGTTGAGCAGAAAGAACCTAGAGGATAGAGGAAGTAGAATCACTGCTTTGGCATGGGTGCAAAGAAAGCACATGAAAGAAATAAAACTCAAAAGTAAGTTATTCTCTTTCTGGGTTTTATATACTTGCAGTTCACATTGAAACTATTGAAAATAATAGTAAAATTACTTTTCTTAACTAAATATGAAATATGGAAACTGTCACAAAGTTTTTTTTATTTAGACGTTTCATCTCTTCCATGAAGATAGGAGGGTAGGGATGGTAAATCTGTAGCAATCTGTTATATCTCAGACTGTCATGGAATAGAAGTGATGCAGGGTTCCATCAAAACCAATGCTGTCAAACAGCTTTGCTGTCAGTCATGGTTTCTCAGACTTACACCCTATGAATGAAATCAGAAGGGCAACAACTGCATGTGAGCATCCCTGCTTGAAAAGTGTGTTAGTGGCAAGTTTGCTTGAACAAAACCGAACCAGATCCCTTTTTAGACAGTGTAAATACGTTTTTCACCAAAGATGACATTTATAGACAAAAAAAAAAAGCCAAGAGTATACTAAAATTTAGTGCTACTGACAAGGCCTCTGGCACATGAAATGTAAACAGCCTTACTACAAACACTCCAACATTAAGGGCTGCATTGATTGCGTGGCTCAGGGGTGAGCATTGCAGTCAAAGCCAGTCAAATACTCGGTCATATTCTTGCAATTAGCAGTTAAATAAGGAAAAAAAAAAATATATATATATATATATATATATAGAGCAGTTCTCATTTAAATGTCATCATCCGAAGACTGTCTCTACAGGTCAAAGCTGCAACTGTAAGGCATAAGAATACAGAGGTGATCATAGATGTCAACAGAAATACAGGTTGGCATCACCTTTCCTGATTGCTTCAATAAACATTAACGTCTCTTTGAGTTCTTCCTTTAAAAAAAAAAGAGTAAGGCTAAGCTGCCTCGTGCAATGCTCCAGCAGTTTGGTATAACTCTCTCTAAGTGTCTGTGCTATATAAAACATTCACTTAGCATGTCATGGCTCATTTCATATCCCACCTCTATGGATTAATACATCCACTGCATGGTGACTGACAGCTAAAGGTCTGACAAAGGCATTGCATTTAAAACTAACTACCTTCACCATACAAACCATTTATGAGGCCATGATATCACTTAACAATATGGCCTCTGATTTGAGAAATGTATATTTCACCTAATTTTCAAGGGGTATTTATGACTGCCTTGGGTGAAGAACATGGATCCTACAGCCTTGAACTGAAATTAGAGTGAGAAAAAAGTTAACCAGCCACTGAAATGACCACTAATTTATTTGCAAACTGTGTTGAATTAAGAGTTTATAGGTAATTAATATAGGTTTTGCCTGTACATTGAAAAGAAAAATGCTCTACGAAAATTCATCTTATTCATCTTAGGAGCATTGTCATCACATGGCTTCAGGACATAGAGTCTGAATTAACATGTGATGGATATTTCATTTAGTTTAATTTTATATATGACTCAGTGTAGTTCTCCAAACAATTCCATAAATAATAATAACTGCCCTGAGTAATAGAGCTAGACTTCATTGCTCCACTGCAAAACTAGTCAGTGGATTCCTTTATCAGTCTTAATGTCAGTTTTCATAATGCGGTCGTGTTCTGTTGGCTAATAAAAATCTCCCCATTAAAAGTTGCTCCTCATCTGTGTACACACCACCCGCTACTGTGACCCTCTCCTTGGGGTATGCAAACTAAAGACATGGAGATCCATCATGTCCAAACACACTAATATAATTAATATCCTCCTCTCCTACAGGCATAGGCTGTACAGAGGAAGTATGACATTAGTTCTCTTTAGACACTAAAAGAATCCAGCTTGATGGCAGGGGGTGGATAATGTGCATTTATGAGTGCTGCATGGGCAGAGAAAAGCAGTGCCTCAAAATGGCCTCATTAAGGTTTCAGGGCCAAACTCTTAAAAGGTACACCTACTCTTACAATTATGGCATGAATCCACAAAAAGGTCATTAATAGAATTATGAATAAATGACAGAACCATGATACTGATTTTCTTGCCTGGAGTTAGGCCGAAACAATTGGATTTTAGAATCAAGCGATCTAGTCTTTATTTGATTGCCTCGCCGAGTGTTCTGCTCCACTGTGGTAGCAAGTGACGCAGGTGTGGCACGTTCACACGAACAAATAGCCTCATTAAGGTTTATGTCGAATGCTTTTCAACACTTTACCTGAATAACAAATGTTCTCATGTGTCCACTCTTTACAGCAGCTTTCAGTCAGTGTCTGTGTGTGTCAGGTTTAGTGACAATAAACCTGTGGAGGTCAGGTTTAGTGTGTTTGAACGTGCCATCCAGAAGTTAAGAACCGTGTAATATCTATGTGTTAAAGCACATGTTACCCCCACAAGGAACTGCACAATGTGCACATTTTAAATAGCCAGCTCAGTGAGACACACGGCAAATGTGCACAAATGTAAGCCTTCTATTTGCTGTTTTGTTAGTCACTGTTAGAGTTGCTCACACAAGTCGTTGTGAACTGATAGCTTTCTACTCTATTCTGAATTTCTCTTTTGAGAGGATGCAGCAGAACCCTCTGGTGAGTTTAAATGCCATTTGTTGTCAGTGGTATTGAGATTCAAGAGAAAAAAGAGCAGCAAAGGAATGCCACGTTTGCATAATGCACAACTCCCAAACAATCACTGTGATATGGAAAAGGAGAAAAATGTAAATGTCAAAGAGGGAAGATTTTTATAAGCAATACTCTTATGCATTGAGAAGATAGTTCCTACAATATATTATTTTCTTATCTGCCCATAATGCTGTTAGGAAGTCTGGTACGCATTGGCATCATAAAGTTTGATCGTTATTTTTAGATCTTATTAAAAATGTATACATATTTCCATCATGCTTAATGGACGTGAAGCTTGTCAAAGAAAAAAACAAACTCTGACATATATCAGTCAAAGATATGTCCAACAACTACTGGTGCCCTTATTTATTTTATCATATTGTTCCAGACAAACAATACACAAGATGGAATTAAATCAGATTTAATTGCTGGAGGTTTGATCATTAAAGTGTCAGTATTTGAGTCATATTTACCTTCAGAACTGAGACATTCTTAATAACGACAGCATTCCTCCACAACCACACAGCTTTTCATGCAAATTCCTGATCAAAGATCAAAAAAGAGGGTTTCTCATTAAACCCTTCCTCTCTTACCAGCAACATACTTTAAAGGAATTATGACAAATCTGTTTTTGTCTCTTGTTTCAATCAGGCAAACAGTTTATGTATTTCAGTCGATTGCGGAAGTCACATAAAAACGAAAAAGTGCATCCCCTTTGCCTGGTTTTGTGCCTTTAAGGGTATTTCTGATGTAAGTGTCTAAAATGTTCTTGAGGGAATGCAAATTCACATTTGTTTTTTTGGATCTATCTGTCTTGGGTCTTCGTTAGCGGGTACATTTTTAGTACATGCCCCGGCACATGAAAAAAAAAACAAAGGTGCGTGATCCTTTGATCCACAAAAATATGCTTCTGAGTGAGTAATTGATTCTCTGCTTAGTGTATGAGCCTCCTCAACACCGTCTGTGCATGAACATGCGCAAACCTCCTCTGTACACTGAATCTTTGAGGTACTTGTAGTCAGAGCCATAAATCACTGTATAGTGACCTTCTCA